GGACTGGGGTCGGAGTCTGGGGTCAGCAAGATCACCTGGGAGACTGGGGGCCGGGATCTGTGGGGGTCGGGGGACTGGGGTCGGGGGCCAGGGTCAGTGGGGAGAACCTGGGGAACGTGTCGCAGGCCGGGGTCAGCGGGGTTATCTTGGGGACTGAGAGCCAGGGTGAGCAAGGGTCACCTGGAAACTGGGGGCCCAGGTTCGAGAGGGTCGGGAGGCTGGGGGACACTAGGGTCACTGCTACCCTAGGGAGGGTGTTTGCTGGTAGCCGGAGTACCAGGAAATATTGGGAACAGGGGTGCACCAGGGTTGGCATGGGGAAGCTGGGGGTTCTGGGGGCCTAGGGTGGGGCTGGGTGTTGCCATGGAGACTGAGGAGGCCACTCCAGAGAGGCCAGTACAACACCAGGGGTGGAGGTGGGGGAGGGGGTGGCTGGCAAGTCTGGTACTGAGGGTAATGGCGGTGTACAGGGCTGCGGGTCCTGCAGTGGGGCGGTTGGGGGAGGCAGAGCAGCCCCAGAGGTAGCTGCATGGGGTGGAGGTGTGGGGACTGACCCCCACTCCCTCTCCTGCAGCTGGAGGCGGCCTGGGGTACCAGGGGCACTGGTGGTCATCGGGGCAGGGCGATAGGTAGCTAGGGATTGGAGTAGAGAGTCCTGGGGACAGCCCGGGTCGCAGCACAGGTGGCCCGTCACCCACCCAGTAGGCCCTTCCATCCGCGCAGCCCTTTGGCTGCGGGGCCTGTCGAGAAGCCTCTGAGCTGCGCAGTGGGTGACCAGAGCTGGCGGGCAGGCCGGCCCGGCCACCGGTGCCGTCCGGGTGTCTGGTGTCAGCTCCTGGCTCTCCAAAGACCTGTCGGACCAGTAGGGAAGCCGGCCCCCGTGGGGGTGGGGGTGGGGGAGGAAGAAGTGCAGAGGCTCCGGGCCCCAGGATGGGGCCCGACCAGCACTTGCCGGTTTCCCTCGGGCAGAGGGGGTTTGGCTGGTTCTCCAGCCCGGCGCTTGGCGTTTCGTGGCGCACACAGCCGCCGCCTCCCCCACAGACCATCCGTGGTGCCTGGAGCTGGGCTCTTGCCCGCCCTGTCCCTTCCCCAGCCCACTGTCGCCACTCCTGGGAAGCTGGGCGGGCTCTAGCTTGCCTCTTCCGGCCCAGAGCGTGGGGGGGTCCGCCAGCGGGGCCCCAGTCCCCGCAGCTCCAGCAGAGCTGCAGGACAGCGCTGACAGGCCCGGACGCCGCTCTGGTACCGGGTTCTGTCAGCCCAGGTCCTTTTCCCTGTAGCGTACCATGATGATGGTGTAACAGCCCTGCTAGGTGAGGGGGGCGCTCGGCGAGGTGGAGACCCTTCCTCCAGCTGGCCAGGGAAGCGGCCTCGCTCCACTCCCGGCGTCAGGTGCGTCCGGCCCTGACCGTGTGCGTTTGCGTTCCAGGCCCGAGGTCCCGGCTATGGCCGCGGCCACCATCGTGCACGACACGTCGGAGGCGGTGGAGCTGTGCCCCGCCCACGGCCTCTACCTGAAGCCCATCACCAAGATGACCATCAGCGTGGCACTGCCGCAGCTGAAGCAGCCGGGCAAGTCCATCTCCAACTGGGAGGTGATGGAGCGGCTGAAGGGCATGGTGCACAGCCACCAGTTCTCCACGCTGCGCATCTCCAAGAGCACCATGGACTTCATCCGCTTCGAGGGCGAGGTGGAGAACAAGAGCCTGGTCAAGTGCTTCCTGGCCTGCCTGGACGGCAAGACCATCAAGCTCAGCGGCTTCTCCGACATCCTCAAGGTGCGGGCCGCCGAGTTCAAGGTCGACTTCCCCACCCGCCACGACTGGGACTCCTTCTTCCGCGACGCCAAGGACATGAACGAGACGCTGCCGGGGGAGCGGCCGGACACCATCCACCTGGAGGGCTTGCCCTGCAAGTGGTTCGCCCGCAAGGAGTCGGGCTCCGAGAAGCCCAGCGAGGACGTGCTGGTGCGCGTGTTCGAGAGGTTCGGCGAGGTGCGCAACGTGGACATCCCCATGCTGGACCCCTACCGCGAGGAGATGACCGGCCGCAACTTCCACACCTTCAGCTTCGGCGGGCACTTGAACTTCGAGGCCTACGTGCAGTACCGCGAGTACGCGGGCTTCATCCAGGCCATGAGCGCCCTGCGCGGCATGAAGCTCATGTACAAGGGCGAGGACGGCAAGGCGGTGGCCTGCAACATCAAGGTGAGTGCCGGCCGCGGCCCGGGGCGCCCCTCGGTGTCCTCACACCCCCGCGTGCACTGGCGTTTCTGGGTAGGAGTCACACAGGCCGGCGGGTCCCACGGTGGCTTCGGCTGACCCGTGTCTGAGGGAAACACGTGACGGTGGACGTGTGACATGCGTGGGCGGGGAGGGGTCCCGCACAGGTGCTGACCTCGCCCCAGCCGGCGGCGCCTGCTGCCTCCTAGCGCCTTTGCAGACGAGGGCGGCAGTTCCTTCTGTCACTGTTGGCTGTGACTGGCGTTCCCTTGCGGGGACCAGGACACCAGCGCTGTAGTGGCGCCGGGTCTTCGTGGCCGTTGCCTGTCCTCCGTCAGTGGAGGCACAGGCCCCGTGGTGGCAGGGTCGCGGCCTCGGAGCAGAAGGGGGCGCCGTGTCGGGAAGGGGGCGGCTTTGTCCTTGGGAACGCTGGGAGGTGACGTGCGTGTCCAGCACGCGTCCGGTCGGCCACTGAGGGCTGTTTCCTCGTGAAGGTCTCCTTCGACTCCACCAAACACCTGAGCGATGCCTCCATTAAGAAGCGGCAGCTGGAGCGGCAGAAGCTTCAGGAGCTGGAGCAGCAGAGGGAGGAGCAGAAGCGGCGTGAGAAGGAGGCCGAGCAGCGGCAGCGGGCCGAGGAGAGGTGCGCGGACCGCGGGCCCGAGGGCCACACGTGTGCTGCCGTGTGCACGCCTGTGCGTGCGCGAGCGTGCATGTGTACGTGTGCTAGTGCGTGCGCTGTGTGCCACTGAGTATGCTTGTTCGCTGCTGTGTGCACGTGTGTGTGCACCTGTGTGCACCTATGTTGCGTCGCCACGTGCCGCAGCTGCTGGAGACACGGCAGGAGGTGTGTGACCTGCAGCTCCTGGTCCCTCCCTGGAACTCTTCCATTTGTGACGCGGTCTGTGTGGGTCTTGTGACGGCACCGGCCCTGCTAGGCCGCGTCACCTGTTCACCTGCGTGTGTCCCGCTGAAGCCCGCAGAGCGTCTGGCCATCGTGCTGTTTGCGTTTTGGGTGAAGCTGTGTTACCAGCGCGCTGGAGAACTGACGGCGGTGGCCAGGGTTTAACGAAGTGGTTTGCGGTCGAGGGGCCTGTGGGGCAGCGGCCCCTCCTCCACCGTCGCCGCCGGGCGCAGCACGGGGCTCAGCTTTCGCCTTTGTCTTGTCCTGTTCGTTATAAAAGCAGCCTACGCGCGGGCACTGCCCAGCTGTGGACGCGCTGTTTTACGGCCCGTGTCCGTTCCGATGTGCCGGCTGTTGAGTCTTGGGCTCGGGGGATGTGCGGGGTGAGTTGCCGGGTGATTTCGTTGATCTCTTTGTAGAGCTGACTTAACTGTCTCTACTGCTGGCCCTCGTTCTGGCGTCTGCTCTTCCCTGAGATCTGGAATGAGGTGCCAACGTGCTTCTGCATGGAGCCGTTTCTTCCTTTGGTCCAGAGCCTGATATCAGGGTGGCAGGTCCAGTGGGCGTGACTCTGGAGGACAGTGTGGGTGGGTGCGGGCATGGGAGGGTGGGGTCCTGCACCAGCCATGGCCTGGCCGTCCTCGGGGCGCCCTGGGCCGGGGGCGACTGTGCGGAGTAGGCCGCCGGCCCGCTGCTGCTGTCCTCAGGCAGGGCTGGACGCTCAGTCGGAGACACGTCCTGTCGCATGCATCTGGCCCGGCCCCTGTGCAGAACGGACCTTGTTCCTGCCTTTGGGGTGTTGGCTGTGACCCACAGACACCCAGTCCCCCCGAGCCCCCGGCATTTCAGTTGGCAGCTCTGCAGGCCCATTTAAGAAGCCATTTCCTTGACCTTTAGTGGAGGAAAAGCAGCCCAGGAAGTGGGCCGTGTCGTGGCCCTGGGGACAGACCACTCCGCCTGGGGGGCAGACGACAGACTGTCCCGGGGACACGTGGTGAGGACACAGGGTTCCAGACAGTGTGGGGGTGCCTCTGCTGTGGTCGCCGAGCAGCGGGAAGGGGCCTGTGCCGCTCTGTGCCCGTGGGCGGGTACTAGGGCCCAGGTGCCAGGCTGTCCAGCCGGGCGAGGCTGCCTGCCACCCCTCTCGGCCGCAGCCTGCAGGCGGGCCCAGGGGCCCCTCTGTGTGGGTAGCTGGGTGTTACTGAGGACCGTCCAGCTCGGCCGGCGTGTCCTTGGAGACGACAGGCCTGGGCTTTAGCTGTCGTTCTGTTGAGAGCCGTGTCACTCACAGGCTGCACAAGGCGGCCTCGACCCGCGGCCCTGGCGCCTCGTGGGCCAGAGTCCGTAGAGGGGCCTCCGCTCTGCCGCCAGCGTCCCGGTCTCAGGGCGCTTTGCACCCAGGCTTCTTCCCCCGTGCGGCGCCGTCCATGTCCTCGCGTGTCCCGTCTGACGCACCGTGACTGCCTTTAGCTGTGTTGTCGCGGTGGCTCCCGGGCTTCAGGCCTCAGCAACGTGTCCCGTGCTCCTGGGGCAGCTCCGCTCCCCCCCCCCCGGCAGTCGTTCCTGGCTGGCATGCGTTGGCCCGCTTCCGTTTGGATCCTGTTTTTGGGGATCCCCTCCAAGAAAAATGGTGTCAGGAGCTAGGCTGTTTGGCTACGCTGTGGATTTATTTTAAAGTCGCTGTCCCCGAGTAGCCGATGTTAGTGACCTTGCGAGATTTCTGTGAGACGGCGTGTGCTCATGGCCCGTGATGGGGGGCCTGGCGCGTGCTCGTGCCCCGTGATCGGGGCCGGCGCAGAGCAGAAACGGTCCCTGTGGGCTTGCGTTCCCCGGAAGGGGCGCATGTGCTAGGTGGACTGTGCCATCTTCCTGCTACCTAATGTCTCGGAATCTTCTTGTAGCTGTGCGTGTTCGTGTTTTTTGCCCCCGTTGGTCCCCGCGCTTCCCCTGGTGCCACACGGGTCGAGAGCTGTAGGGAGGGGAGTTCTCCCTTGTCCCCGGGAGCTCGATCTGGCACCGACCTGTGTGTGAGAAGTTCATCTATGACCTGAGACCTGCCGCCCGTGACCTCTCTGTCCCGGGCCTCAGGCCAGGACAGTGGTGCAGGGGACATTGCCGTGTCCTTGGCAGTGCTGGCAGTGCCCTCCGTGGTGGCGGTGGCCGCCCTCTGCTGTTGCCTATCCTGCTGCTGTGGGCGCATAGCCTTGGGAACTGAGCTTGGGTGCCGTGGAGTGCACCGGTGCCCTGTCGCGGGCTGGGGCTCGCTGTGCCAGGCTGTCCCGGACGCACGACGTCCCCCCAGCTGGTGAGCGTGTACCGACGGCCATCCCAGGCTCGCCGGCGGTGTACTCGTGGAGGCCGCGTCAACACGCGTTGTTGTGCGACACTGCCCCGCCCCCCGCCCCGCCCCCTCTCGCTGGGCGAGCGGCCTGTGCCGCCTTCCCACGAGCCCCGGCGCCCGATCCCCCCCTGACGGCCGCTGCGTTTTGCGCAGGAAGCAGAAGGAGCTGGAAGAGCTGGAGAGGGAGCGGAAGCGCGAGGAGAAGCTGCGGAAGCGGGAGCAGAAGCAGCGGGACCGCGAGTCGCGCCGCAGCCAGCGGAAGCTGGAGAAGCTGCAGGCGCAGGGGCAGCGCCGGCTGCAGGAGAAGATCCGCACGGAGGAGCGGAAGCTGCTGCTGGCCCAGCGCAACCTGCAGTCCGTCCGGCTGGTGGCCGGCCTGCTGAGCCGAGCCAAGGTACCGCGGCGCCCTGCGCGCGTGCGTCCCGGTCCCCGCTGCCGGCGCCACACCCACGCCGTGTGGCTCTGTTGGGAGGGCGTGCTGCCCCCTGGCGGTCCTCAGGGTTCCCATGTCATCCGCCTTAGGCCTAGGAAGCTGGTAGGACAGTGAATTGGCGTGACCAGCAGGCTTACTAGGCGCTGGCCAGGGCTGACGGTGCCGTTTGTCCCTGAGACAGGGACTGGCAGGGCTCGCAGAGGGTCTCCGGGCTCTGTGGCTCTCCTCCCGCTGATGATGCGCTCGCCAGGTCTGGTCAGGCCAGTGGCCTGGGACAGGAGGACGGGTGCCAAGCCTGGCCTCCGGGGGACCAAGGGTGCCCAGAGCTTGGCCTGCTGCCTCCTTCCTTCGCGGCTGTGCAGCCGACAGTTGTTGGCCCGTGCCGTGTGCCGGTCCCCTCCGTGCCGACGGCCCCCTCGGCATCCTGGCTGATAGCACTGTGCAGCCGACAGTTGTTGGCCCGTGCCGTGTGCTGGTCCCCTCCGTGCCTACGGCCCCCTCGGCATCCTGGCTGATAGCTGAGCCGGCCGCGGGCAGAGCCGCCTGAGCCGCGCCTGAGCCGTGCTCCGCTGGCCGCAGGCCCCTGCCCTGGGCGCGGCCGCCCCATAACCTGTTGTCTAATTACAGTGTTGATAAGGCCCGGGAAGGAGCGTGGCAGGCGCCCGGGACATGTGGCCGCTCAGTTCTTGTTTCATGGTGAATATTGAAGACACCGACCCAGGCTAGGCCCAGCACGGCCCTGGCGGCCTGCGTCTGCGTCCTCATTACAGCTCCGTCTCCTGGCGGGGGAGGAGCCCAGGCCGCCCCCGAGTGCACGCCGGGGGCTGTGCCCACTAGCTTCGCCGCGGGGTGTCCCTGCGCGTAGACGCATGA